ATATGCGAAGTATCCCATTCCTGCTTGTTCGTGTTCTCACTACCTTTAGTGCGTGGAAGCGGTCGCTGGGATGACACAACGTCGCAACCACGTAGCAGTACTGCTACTGGAGTAGTACCGTCTGCGGCCACCATCCCACCGCACCTATTGGACGTCTATCGGCAAAAGTCCCTTATAAGGCCACGCTGTCCCGTTTCCATGGCGACATTCAACGTCCGCACTCTAAGTCAAACAGGTCAGCAGGCTGCACTCGCACGCACCTTGGACACACTGGGTATTGATGTGTGTTGTGTGTCCGAAACTAGGATCATTGACCCTAACGGGGTTATTGAATTGACGCACCCGGCTTATCCTCTCGTTATTGGTTGCACGCATCCGGAGACGCCGATGCGGCACTCACGGGTCAAGCTGGTGTAGGTATCATTCTCAGCTCCAAGGCTGAGTCATCGTTGGTTGATTGGATTCCGGTGAACAGCCTTTTATGTGCAGCCCGTTTGACGACATCAGCTAAGGTGAATTCGCGAAGTAAAACAAAACGCTGTTTGTGATTTCTGCTTATGCTCTCTCCGACTGCAGTTCTAATGCAGTCAAGGACACTTTCTATCAAGAACTGAACACGCTGCTACGCAGTGCTACTAGTTCAGATATTATAGTACTTGCAGGGGATATGAACGCACAAGTAGGGCGTCTGAGCTCTTCAGAAGCTCAGCTGGGTGGTACTTGTGGGCTAAACCGAACGGACTGACAACGGTGTCTGCTGCAACTGTGCGGAGCACCAGTTATTTCTTAGTAGCACTGCTTTTAGACACAGTGGGCGCCGAACTGCCACTTGGCGTCTACCTGTAGCTGGCCAGCGATGGACCCAAATTGACCACATAGCCATAAGTTACAGGTGGCGCGGTTCCCTTCTGGATTGCCGCTCGTATTGGAGTACCTGTGTCGACTCTGATCATGCCTTGGTGCGCTGTCGTTTCTCCATGAACTTTACCGGAAGGCGCACAACACGTCTACCCCGATTGGCAACTGAGAAATTGTCTCAGCCTTTTGTCAGGCAAGCCTATCAAGAAGCACTGCATAGCGAACTCTCGTTGTCATGTCCTAATGACACTGAACTTCAGTGGAATAGGATCTCGGCCACTATGCATGACGCAGGAGCATCTGTTTGTGGCACTATCAGTCGTCATCGCACCAGTCACTGGATATCCGATAGGTCCGTGAACCTGTTGGAAGCTAGAAGACACCTCCCGGCTGGTTCTGAACACAATATGACCAGACGGGCTATTAGGCGTGAGCTAAAGCGGAGCCTACATGCTGACAAGGAAGCCTGGTGGACCAGTCGGGCTCAAGAAATGGAGGAGGCAGGAGCAGTAGGCAATTACCGCAAGCTCTTCCAGCTAATCCGCACCACTGGTCCCAGAAAACCAGGCGTCAGTGAGACAATCAGGGACAGCGCGGGTGTGCTGATACACAATAAGGAGCGCCGTATGGCTCGTTGGGCTGAACACTTTGAAGATCAGTTCAGCTGACCCCCTGCTCCCGGACCTCTTCCTTCTCAGGTGATGCAGGACGTGCCATGGACGGTTAGTTTAGAGCCTCCGTCAGAGGCCGAGGTCCGAAACGCGATCACAGCCCTGAATTGTTTTCGTGCCGCTGGCCCGGATTCCCTCCCACCTGCACTATTTAAGGATGGAGGTGAGGTCCTCTGCAGAGCACTGACCTCCCTATTCGAACGTATCTGGAACGAAGAGTGTGCCGGCTAATTGGAGCGAATCGATTATAGTGGCAATATACAAAAAGGGCAGTCGCACAGACTGCGAACCACAGGGGTATTAGCCTAACGCCAGTTGTGACAAAATTACTGGCCTCGATTATCGTTCGTCGCCTCACTGCAGAACGGAAATCTCGGATTAGGGAAGAGCAGGCCGGTTTTCGCCCAGGACGTGGCTGTATAGACCATATATTTACTTTGCGGCAGGTGCTAGAGCAGCGCCACGCATACCGCAGACCGACAATAGCTGTGTTCCTCGATTTCAAGAGTGCGTTCGATTCAGTCGATCGATCGATTCTGTTCGAAATACTTGCGCGGAAAGGTGTTCCCACGAAATATGTGAACATCCTTCGTGCTCTATACTCGAACACTACAGGCCGCGTCAGGGTCTATGGTATCCTATCTGATTGCTTTTCGACTACAAGTGGCGTTCGTCAGGGTTGTCTGATTTCCCCGTTTTTGTTCAATTTCGTCGTGGATTCTATCATGGAGTGTTCCCTTGCGGAATCTCATGATGTAGGCGTTGAAGTGCTGCCTGGTGAAAGGTTAGTTGATCTAGATTATGCGGACGATATCGTCTTGCTATTCGACAATGTTGAGGCGGCACAATCAACCCTGAATAGCCTATCCAGAGTGGTCCCATTATTTGGTATGCACTTCGCACCTTCAAAGTGCAAAGTGTTGCTGCAGGACCACCAGCCACTTAATGACCCCTTGACGCTTGCTAACGAGGAACTCGAGGTAGTTGGTCAATTCACTTATCTTGGCAGCTGCATCAGCAATGATGGGCGCATAGAAACTGACGTGAGCTCACGCATTGCAAAGACCAGAGCTACCTTCTTGAACCTGCGTCATCTTTGGCGACAGAAGGGAGTTTCCCTCCGTCTGAAAGGTCGTGTATACAAGGCCACAGTGAGGGCCGTTCTGCTCTATGGTAGTGAAACTTGGCCCCTTCGGTCTGAAGATCTGAGGCGCCTTCAAGTCTTTGATCATCGTTGTTTGCGAAGCATTGCTGGTGTCGGATGGCACCATTGTGTCCGCAACGATGATGTGCGTAGGCGAGTACTAGGTGGTGATAATCATGCTAGCTCCCTAGAACAACAGATAGCATTAAATAACTTGCGTTGGCTCGGGCACGTGCTACGCATGCCTGGTCACCGCTTACCCAAGAGGGCCTTATTCAGTCTACCAGGTGTAGGATGGCGCAAGGCTCGAGGTGGACGGAAGTTGACTTGGCAGCGGGAAATGAAGTCACTGACAACCAAACTGGGTGCCGTTGGTCCGTCTCGCCTTCTTGGTTGGAGTCCACGTGACTGACCTTGTGCTTGGCTCGAGACTTTACAGGACATGGCTCGCAACCGACACCAGTGGCGCGTCTGTTGCCGTCTCCTAATCGGATTGTCTGTTTAAAGTGTGTTCGGTGCTGGGTTATCTGCGGGGTAATGGTTGATTATGACGCGTGGCAGTGAGAGCCGCAAGGAAGCTGTCTCGCCGATGCCGCCTTTGCACGATAACCAGCTGTTTGTGATGGTATGTTGTGTACACAAGGTGTAGGCGCCTTGACCCTGAATGTTTGCTTAGGGCATTAAGGTTTTCAGGTAAGTCCCCTTCTCTCCCTCTTCTTATTCTTTATTTCATAGGTCCTCATGGTTGTATGGCAGCGAAGCATCAGTTCAAATGGCTGATGTACTGCTGTTGATGATGATGATCGTTTTGTTGAGGCAATTTCTCGAACAGTCGCTGTAGTCACCTTGCCCTCACTGTTACATTGGGGTGTTCTTTGGATATGGATGGGTAAATCGGACCACTTAGCATATCATCGAGAGCACAGCGACTGGTCGATTCCGCGCTTTATCCATTGCTTGGGATTTCTTATCGACATTCCCACGTACCTTTTGGCCTACTATTGCTACTCAATCCAACATACTTATCCATTGAATATCAACTCCTTTACTGACCGTTTTTACTCACGTTCATGGTTGTCGCATTCGGCGGCCACCATGTTCTAAATCTCAGATAGGCTTTTTACATTTCCTTTGTCTTTCAGGACATTCGTAGAGTCGCCTCCTATACTTACAAGATTATTACACTTCCGGAGGATATCGCCGCCAATGTGTTGTATGTCAACCAATATCTGCTGCACTTATCTCCAGATTTGATACCAAAAAGTATTGGGGTAAGTTCTACATTTTTACACATCACACGGCGCAATTTGTTCTCGTCTTTACAGTCTCCTACTTGACATCTTAGCACTCGTTGCACAGCATACATCAATTGAGCCAATTCACTAGAATTTCGGAATTGTTGCACTCAGCGTCTTTAGTGTAGCGTTGGCTTTGTTCTCTTTTTAAGCGAATCTTGCAACCTAAGAAGCAAGGTTACCGAATACCTGCATCGATTTTTCAAGCCATTTTGTCCAAAGTAGTGTAATTAACCCACCTCACCGCGGGCATCATTTACACTTGGCCACATTATATATGGTTGGAATACCCGAGGGACGTTTTCTCTCTTGTTCTACCTCATTCGTGAAGTGTGCATTCGAATTCTGTCATCTCTGCTCTTTTGTCAATGGAAATCACAACTCAAAGCTGGTGAATTACGTCACCCGCATTAAACAATTAAATAAATTTATCCACCATAGGCTCAAGGCACGCCTTCCTATGCATAATCATAAAGTTACAGCACTGATGAAGTGTCATCCACAATGCATGTCCGAGAAAATAGGTCTAGCAGCGCTTTCCATGCCCCACCAATGCGCTCCTGAAGGAAACCCGAGGCGTTCTCTCTAAACTCAAACCGTCCAATCGACACCTTGTGTTTGACGCACGCGTCTATACGACTGCACGTGCGCTCAGCGTCACACTTGTCACTCTTCCCTTTGGTGTGGCCGCATGTGAAGTGCAGACTGGACCCCAAACTGCACTGCCTGACGGCCAGCATAGGGATGAGAAGCAGTCGACCACAGGATCGGTCGGGGAGGACCAGTGGAGTGGCCTGCTCGGTCGCCAGAGTTGGACCCGTTAGCTTTATCCCTGTGGGATTACTTGAAACGACGAGTTTACAAAACCAAGCCCAAATCTCTTGAGGAACCGAAACGGAGCATTTTAAACGAATGTCGCGGGATCACACTGGGGACTTTGGAGTGAAGGCTAGCCAACACCATCACGCGAATGTTACACTGTATGCAAAACGCCGGCGGGCACTTTGGACATCTACTTCGTTGACATTTATGGCCATTAAACTGTTTTCTTGTAAATATATGTCTCATCCAATGATTAAACGATTAATATGGTGTGCTGGCAACTGGTATAATAATGTGGCGAGGCAGACTGAGTGGTAAGCGCGTTGCGTATAGAGAGTAAGACGGTAAACTGTAGAATTGCTACGCAGTGGTGCTTAACATGGGACATCGAATGTTTGCAAGTAAACAGTATTTCTCGGTAGCAAGATCCACTAGGCAAGGAAAGCAACCTAATGATAGCTAATGGTTGGTTGGGTGCGTGTTTTAAGGCTAAAACAGCGTTGGCCTTGAATGTTTGTAGTCATTCACTGTTAGATGTCGGCGACCATCGCACATTCATTGCATAAATGCAGGGATGTCCAAAGTCCGGTCCGCGGGCCAAATGTGACCGGCGTTAACATTTCAACTGGCCCGCGGCCTCATCATGAAACACTAAATTCAGGCTTCGATTTTTTCGTACATGTCTAATTTTGTGATTATCTTATTGTCAAATTGAATATGGCCCTCACAAAATGTGTCCACTCCTTGGACAACTCTGGTCTACGTTAATGGGAGCAGTGTCCCCAGCAGGCATTGCTAATTCAGCCTAGCATGGGCGTTTTCTTGCTTACCCGTAGCTAGCAATAGGCTGAGTGAGCGCCGTTTATCCTGTGGCGTGCGAGTTAGGCTGACCGCGCATGCGTGAGGTGCTAATTCCACCACAGCTCATGCGCTTTGCAATACGAGCTGCCCTAATGGCTCAGTACGGGACCATCGTACCCATCGCCAGGCTGCTGAACGATAGCACAATAAAGAAACTGCTAGCGAACCAATACTATCGGTCGCTCCAGTTGGCAGTTTGCCTGTCCGTCCGCACTCGTAACCGAGTAAGGTTCTCGTGTGCTTTGGATTATGTGGTCGACTGCTTCTCATCCCTATGCTGGCCGTCAGGCCGTGCAGTTTGCAGTCCAGTCTGCACTTTACATGCGGCCACACCAAAGGGAAGAGTGACAAGTGTGACGCTGAGCGCACGTGCAGTCGTATAGACGCGTGCGTCAAACACAAGGTGTCGATTGGACGGTTTGAGTTTAGAGAGAACGCGTCGGGTTTCCTTCAGGAGCGCATTGATGGGGCACGGGAAGTGCTGCTAGACCTGTTTTCTTCACTGTTGGTATAGTTATTGAAAATCTACAATTGTTGCACATGATACGTGGAAGTAGTTAGCAATAAGTATGTTGCACAGATGCAATGTCACTGGTTTACTTGCGATCGTCAGGGTTGGGCTACTTGTGGAAATGATTGACCCATGGAATGGTGAACAGTTTGAACAGTGATTTAAGCGGCGGAAGAATCCTGTGATTGGGATTGGACGCATGGCCATTGTAAAGATGGAATTACGGCTGCTTGCCAAAGAATGACGAGGCATCGGTGAATGCGATTTAACCCAATTTATCGAGACATGGTATAAGGTAACCAAACGGTGTTCGTATGGCTGAAACTTACCACTAGTTTTATGATACAAGTTATATTCACCTTTTGGTTTCGCTTTCGCTAGGTGGCACCAGTCTCTAACGGTCAGGGTTTCGATCCCCAGTAGGAAACCGAGTGAATACGCACCACTGACGAGCCTTTACGTTGCGAAACCCGCGTCTGGTGCTTTTCCAGATTGTGCTTGTGTCGTGTAGCCTGTGAGCTACTGAGACGAATACCTTAAATTTATCTACTGGAGTTATTTGGCTTTTTCTTTTTTGTCCTTGACTAATTCATTGTTTCAATTTGCGCATTTTTTCAGGTATTCGAGAACAAAATCGATTACAATAGGCAGCCATGTCACATCCCGAGCCTTCTTTCCGCAGGCGTGCCCTTATCCAAACTGGCTTTGTTTGTCGGCCCATTCCGTCGTCAACGCAATATCATCTCTACTATACCTTAAGGCCGACACTTTCTGCTTTCGGACATTCGTGTTTTGGAAGGCGCTGATCTATCTAACATTTTTGATTTCCCCAGCTGTTCTTGTACTTCATAGTGATCAATAATTTGACCTGTAAAATTTTTTATGAGACATTCAATTATCCACTAACATGATCCCAAATACTCAAGTCAAAATAAGCTTTATGAGCCCTAATGGGTTCATTTCCTTCATTTATGCCACCACTACACGGACATCTGGATGATAATATCAATGTTCATGCTTGGGGAGAAATGGGAAATATGCACAACTGTTACTTCAACAACCGCTCGTGCAGCATGTTTGTGACTTTCGCTGTGTCAACAAGCAAACGTGAGAGATAAGGCATAACCGTATTACGACACGATGACGTGCGGGAGAATAAAATTCAGAATTTCGAACGAATAGAAGAGAAAGTGCGCGCTTTAGAAAGATCATGGTGTAGTGGATGAAATCGTTCAGTTAGTACTTTAGAAGAAAAAGCATTGCAGGCACCATGGCATGTAGAAATGACCAACTCAACTAAAGAATCTCTAGACAAGCCGCTGCATCTGAAAAGGTGCTTTATAGATCGCACCAATAAGATGTAGTCTTTCTGAACCAGTCTAGGTAAAACGACAGGAGAGTAATATATCCAATGGTAGTAATGCAAGAGGTCACAAACCTGAATCTTAAAGTAAGAGGTACTGAAATCACCTTAACTCTGAGGGCATTAAAAGAAAGTTTTCTGACTTCTGAAAAGTTTTACAGATATGCGTAGATCAAGAAAGGTTCTGTAACAAAAAGACGCCGAAATACTTCGGTATGGGATTTTCATTCACATTAAGGGTGGGAGAGAAATCTATGGGGGACTGTCACTTATCTCCATGGAGCAAAGAAAATATTACATCACTGCATTTAGAAGCATTAAGCTTAGGAGATCGGGATGAAGACCATTCCACCAGATCTTCCAACCCACTTTAAAGCGATGAGGAATCCTGCTTAGTGGGGCCATACATCCCAGCACATCATCAGCATATTTACACCCTATAAACGTGGTTCATTTAGGGAGACGTTCGACATACAAGGAAAATAGAAAAGTGATACGATCGCTCCCTGCAGAACATCACTGGTAGCACGAAGAACTCAGGATTTCCTACCGTTCAACTTGGTGAAGGGAATGCGATCTGTAAAATAACTACGTAACAGATTACGCACACCCGGGTTAACTCTACTTTCGGATAGCAGGTTGAGCAACTTTGATTTATCCAGATTTCCAACGGCATTCGAATAATCCGGGAAGAGAAACCGTACGGATTTACTTTTTGATCCAGTACATAAGCTATAGAATGGAAAAGATTTGTCATTGCATCCAATTTGGAGCGCTGGGGTCTCTAGGCAAACTGGTAGATATCGTCCTGAAGAGAGGCTGTACAAGTACGAGGAATTAACAGTCGGAAGCTTTTAGAAATACAGATGTACATACGATTGGGCGATACTTTCATGATCCATTGTTTTGTTATTTGACTTATACTTGCCGTTCTTCAAATATCCCTTGGATCCCACCCGTAGTGAGGCATTTATTATAGAAATCTGGTAAAGACAGTGTGAGATAATCAGCATACTCTTTTAAAGCTATTGATTAGAGAGCATCTGGACCACAAGCTTTGTTTGCCTTTAATCTTTTGGGTTCCTTTTTAATGTTGCTTTGATCGAAGGGCGCTGCTGGACTTGAGCTAATGAAGGAGGGCAAGGAAGGTGAGCTTAATGACGGGGAACTGAACTCAGAATTCAGTTTATCCACATCCACTTCACCGCTCTAGCTGCAGACACAGAGCTGCCTCAAAAGCCTCCATAGATCGCGACAGTTATGGTTGCCTAGAACTGCTTCGACTTGTAAGCGGTTTAGTCTTTTTATCTCGGCTTTACTTGCTATGCTTAGGCTTTTGACACAAGTAGCATTCTTGCACTCGTAAGCCCATTCTTTCATCCTTCGAAGCCGCTTAATAGTCGTAATGAAAATCTATCCGCCCTTAGGTAGATCGTTTTAAAAGGGCAACACATGGCAAAGCTATGTTTGATGTAGTCGGTAAGATGGTCACATTGAGGCGTCAGGTCCTCACCGTTAAAGACCGAAAAATCAGTTAAAGGACATATTTGTCTGGAACTTCTTGAAATATTCAGAGGAGCAATTTTGTCGTTAGATACGCTTGTAAGAACGTCTGGTCTGTGTTAAAAGTTTAGACCTGCCGTATATGACTGGACAATTTTCAAATACACTGGTCTGAACTGCTGAAAGGAGCCCGTTTTTGTCGTTTGTGTACACAGCGTTCAACTGGGCATTTTGTCTAGTCGAAAATCACTAGGTCTACCCAGCCGTGTCTTCAGGAATGTTGTATCCTTTCTGTTGAAGTCGCCAGCAACAATGCAGGTAGAACAATCTCATTTAAGCAATAGCGTTGAAGAAACTTGGTCCTCAAAAAGCTTTAACTTCGATGCATATGTGCCAGGAGCCATGTATACGTTTCAAGCGATGACTGACTGGAAGTCACTTAAGAACTTCGGCTTACATTCAGTTAAATGGCAGCGTATAGAAATCGTTATGTGAACATTACGATTGCTGAGTTGCGCCAACGTTGATTAACGTGTTATAAAGCCACTACCACGAAGCTGAGGCTTTCCTTTGTGGTCAGATCTGATGGGAAAATAACCATCGAGTTGGATAACCCCCTTTTCCACATCAATAAGCAACTAAGTTACGTTTAACCGAATGATTCCTGTATTAACATACCCATTTCGCCGCATAAGGACACTGTGATCACTGATTTTACCAAGAAGCGAGCGAACCTTATTGGAAAGTACCAGTAGGACTTGCGCTTTGTCGACAGAACGGCCAAGTTGCTAGCCAACACGATGCTTTCACTTTTTTCCAAGACATTCCTAATTAGTTTGTAGGTGTTCCGGACTTTATGACCGTATTCGATGAAGCGTAGTTTTAAAGCAGTAGCGCGTAACGTTTTCAAATGGTTGACGGAGTAGGACATCATTGACCTTGGAACTTGATCAGAAAAAACAAACTCATTCAAAGATACAAGTAAAATATAAAATCCGCAGTCGGTAGGGTAAAGTGATCCTCCAAGGAGAACGGCAGCGGCTGAATTTGAAGGCCCCGCCACACAGCTTGCAATTGCTTCAGTGTGTGGCGATGATCATATTCATTTGTGCTCTGCCTGGATCGCACCATTACTATCGTCATTACCATCACCATCATCATCAACAACACAGGGGCACCATGCAATCGACCAGGGTTACAATTCACGCGGCATGCGAACACAGTACGGCAACTGGTTGCTATCGGAAAGTGATGCAATCCCAGCAGTGCGTCGATATTTTGTTTTGTACTGGGCATGCATGATGGTCTTGCTAGTGTGAAATATGTGAACGAGAGAGAAGTGGACCTAGCGCAAAACACACACTCAAGGGCAAGTTACATTAACAACAGAACACTCACAGATAGCACTCCATCATGCCAAGATACAGCACATCCGTGAGACTGCCTCTTGAGACTTTCACTGCGACACCTTGTCCTGCAGACGACTCATAGCCAGACAATTTAAACAGATAGAATAAGAGAGGAATTAAAGGCGCCGCTGGTGCCGACTGTGCGTTACGTGTTTTAAAGCTTCGAAACAAGCACAATGTGTGTCGCGTGCTCTCCAATCATGTTGACCAGGGATGTCCGGTCCGAGGGCCGAATGCGGCCCGCGTTAACCTTCCAACCGACCCGCGGCCTCATCAGGAAATAATAAATCCAGGCTTTACTTTTTTTCGTACGTGTGTAGTTTTTCTTATTATCTTAGTGTCAGACTGAATATGTCCCGACGTATTTCTGCTTCACGAAATGTGGCCCGCCTTCCAAAATGTTTGGACAACCCTGATGTAGACCAACAGCGCCCAGCTTAGTGATTTGCCAAGTTAACTTCTGCTATCGATAAGCCTCGCAAGACACAAGCTATCGTGTACTGCTTATTGTCTAGATGTGGCCGATTATCATTGTAGTCCGACTTTGTGCTCGGCGATTATCGTTGGAGCTCATCGAAACTGTGTTCCGAGCATCAGTTAGCATGGAATTCTTCGGTAGCTGACTTCCGACAGACCTAAATGAGTCACATCATAATGCGCTCTAGGCGATGGTCCCATCATTGACCAAAGCTCGATTCGGATCTCCTGCATCTGTTCTAATCCCGCTCTAACTGATGAAATTTGGTGGGGAAATGAAACAAATGACCACGTCAGCCACCAATACATAAAGTGTTGCAGGTATTAGTTAGACAAGCCTACCAGAGGCTCCGGCGGGCTACGCCTTCGCCATGTTTCTTTTCAGCCACCACGACGATACTGGACCTTAACGCGCTGCTGAAACTTACATGTTCTTTAACACCTTGAGTAAACCCTCAGGCCGCATCTCTTACCCTGACTGAATCAACTCGTAGGAAATGTTAGCACTGCAATTTGGGCCAGTGTAACCATGTTGCTTCGACAAGAAATTTGGTCTTTTGTCTCGATAGCAACGCGCACTATGAAATAAATTCGTCTATTCTGGCTCTGCCGATGATTACGATGCGTACAGCAGAGCGGAATTTATGCAACACTGTGGACGAAGGGGCTCGTCGTCAGTTCGGAATGAAGTCTGTAACTAAAGCGAAGATTGCTGCCAATTGTGTAGCGGTGCCTGTGGTCTGCAGGTGACAACAATGTTAGGGGCTCAAACAAACAGATCCTAATCCCCAGTACTGGGCGTTCATCAGCATTTGCTGCTCATTTCGCTTCCATATTTGAAGTCATCACGTGTCTGTACCGATTTCGACATGTGCGGCCCCTACCGAACTCGGCAATATAGATTGCAGTGTCAAAGATGTGTGCAGTCTACTCACTAGTCTTGCTAGCACAAAGCCTAACGGTCTCTGATTCTCATTTCGCTATCGGCCATGATCTCGCTTTCTATT